CATCACCAAATGAGGAATGTCTTTCTAGCATAGGACCCTTTAGAGACTCCTAAAGTCCACCCCCCTGCAAGAAGAAGGCAGAAAGCAGTGTGGGAAAGATAAAGCTGTTTGGGGGCACATTACATTTCTTGATGATGAAAAAATGCATAGCACACTGTAACTAATGTGTCTTTGTGCCTTGATATTTTCTTTCTATTGTGATTAAAAGAGTAAAAGCATCATCTCACTCAGAGATCTGAGACATTCTCAGAGGGGTTTTGCAGAAACTAATACACCCAACTGATGGCTCCCATCAACACCTAAGGTACTTCATGTCATGTAATTTAATTTCAGAATCTGAAGAGTTTGTTTTTGGTGAGGTTCTCTATGAATTCTTAGATCTAAACTAATGTCAAGTTCAAGGTTATGTTTGCCTTTCACATCACACCTGGGAGGTTAGAAGTCATGAGATAAAACCATGATTGCTTCCTATGCTTGGGACTCTGGCCCCTTCATTTCAAGGGCAACATTAAAAGGGCAATCCCCTTACCTCTAGGACTTGGAAACAAAGAAAGGCAAGAGTTTTAGGAGACATTACATATATATAAATCTGTTGGAGACCAGGAAGGTCACCAAACAAGGGAATAAATCTGAGTGAAGAGCATCTTGAGAAAGACTCTTTAGGCGTGAGTGAAAGAAAAAAGAAACAGTGATGTCCTCGGTGGGGAGGGGTGATATTTTGGTTCTGAAATTATGAACATATTCTAGTGTTTAGGCCAAGAAACTGGCTCAGGAAAAAGGAAGGAGTTTGAGGGCAGAAGTAGGTAACAGGGAAATAAATCATCTGGGACTCCACCTAATGGAACAGAGAGGTTAGGCTGTTGCTATTCAGAGTGTGGCCCATGGGCCAGCAGCATCAGCTTCATGAGACAGATTACTGAAAATGCCAGAACCTTAGGCTCCAACCCAGACCCACTGATTGAGAATCTGCATTTCAGCAGGTCCCCAGTTGATTCATTTGCCATCAAAGTCTCAGAAGCACTGGACTAGGAAATACGTGAGTTGGGCATGTGGTTGAACTCTGGGGAGATTTCTGCTCACGGGAACTTTGGGCATTGCTGATTTTTGTGTTTCCTTCAACAATGGCCTTGAATATTAAAACAAAACCACGAGTTCTGCTGTATCTGATGTGAAATGTCAGAAGCCCTTGGCTTAGGATAGTGACACTTTCACTAAGGACTTTGTGCCTCTGTACCACGATCATTAAGAGAATGACACCTGGGGGCCGGCCTGGGGTGCGCCATAATAGAAGAAGCCGTGGCACAGGACTCAGGCATTGAGGGTCTAATTCTACTTCTTCAGAGTTCTATGATTTTAGGAAGACTACTTTCTCTCTGAACCACACTTTGTGAACTCCCAAATTGTAGCGCTAAGTTAACAGCTGGGTGGCTCAGGGCTGAAGCTTACTTTCTGGCCTCCTGCCTCATCTCTCATTTATAAGCAAGAAGTCTGGGCTCAAGGCGTTCAGGTATTGGCTGGGTGGGAGCTCTGCCTCTTGGCATCTCCAGAACTGAAGCTTCCCGACCCTTAGATTGTCACTCAACCATTTCCTTTTCATACTTTTAACCAAAAGAATCTTCTAGCAGATGATTTCCATGAAGAGCCAGCACACTGTTTAGCCTCTGAGGAGGACTCCATAAGTAGAGACTCCTGAGACTAGGGCCGTTCTTTTACTATTACAATGATTATTTTGCCATTCTGTGCCTCCTCTGTCAGGGTATGACTCTGCTAAGGAATATGGTGGATGAAGAAAATACGAAGGTGTCGTCAGTAATTAGAAAATAACAACATAATTAAACATTTCCAGCCACTGAGAAGGGACCAAGAAGAAATGGAAAGGAGTGAATGAAGGTAATGCAGAATGGTGAAGACAGAGAAAGGCAAAGTGCATGTCTCACAGGGTCCCAGGGTGGGCCATGAGTGCCACATATCACATGACTGATAAACCCTGGTGTTGCAGCTTCAGCTGTTCTGTGACCTGCCTCACACCCTTCATCGAATGACAACTCCCCAAGTCAGTAAGGGCTGGGAAGCAGGGCTGCTATCGGCTGCTACGGTTGGAGTTCACGCTCATCTGTCAGTGCCTGCACCTGGCTGGTTGGCACCCAGGGCATACTGGTTGTTAGATCCTTGGCCCTCTTGAAGCAAAGTTTCCAGTGATTTCTCAAAAAGCCTTTATAACTGACCAACTCTAAAAAAAAGGATTCCTTTATTCATTTCATGAATGTGTGCATTTGTTCAACCAATATTCACTGACTACTTGTTACATCAACCAGCCTTGTGCTGCTTGTTAAATGCTTATTAAATTATTTTCATATGTGCTGACGCTCACTTTCCCTTGGGTACAGAGCCAACAGTGACTTGGGCTCTGTCTTCAAGGAGTTCACAAGCCAATGTGTCACAGCAGTCGATGTAAATTGTGAATATCTTAGCATTAAGCAAACTTGGATCAATGAGAATCTTGTTTCCAGCATCTAAATCTGACACCCCAGCCCTGATCATTTTCCTGCACAATCTAGCACTGAGGAAGGTATGCTTTTGTTCAGTTCTTTACAACTGCATGCATGGTCTAGCTTCTTCAGTGCTAATGTGTCGTATCTGGGGAAGTTTCTTTCCTTCTTCATCTACAATCCTACTTGACTTCCGCAGTCACCCCAACCTATGTGCTCTAAAAAATGGGAAGAGAAATACAGGAAGTCACCAACAGTTCTCCAATTGCACGATATTAGAAAAGATTCATCTTTTGGAACATATTTCATCCAACAGCTTAGTCAACAGAAAGGTCCCTTCTTTGTTATCAGCAAATAGATCTTATCATAAAAATACTTAAGGATCACTCAGGATCTTAAATCAGGCCCATATTTCCAAAACTCACCACAGACAAGATTCTCCACCTGTTATTCTATATTTATTTTAAAAATAAATTTATTTTGAAACTTCCTTACAACATTTAGTTCTAGCCATTGATTCTTTCTAATACATTGCCTCTTTTTTTGCATAACAAAACCCTCTTTTCTTTTAGAAAATAGGTCTTTCTCATCAGTAGACAGAGCTGACCCTAACTCCCTGCTATAGGGATCATCTCCTAAATAAGGCTGATTCAGCTAAAATCGCGAGCCACGAGCATTAAGAGACCACAAGAGCTCGGAGTTGCTGGAGGCCACCTTTGACACCACCAGGAGTCGACGTTACATGGAATCAACACTGAGGGAAGCAGAACCAAGAGATATAAGGAAAGGATGGCTGCTCATGAAACTGGTTGAACCCATGGCCCCAGCAGAATGGGAGACTGGGTTCTCAGGGAACAGAAATGAGGCAGAGTTTGGGATAAAATATGTTTATCAATGATCAAAACTTGTAAAAGGAAAGAAGCAGGGGCAGGACTAGGAAGAGAACGAAGTCCAACTGTGGTATGATCCAACAATCCCCTGGACATGTTCGTAGGAGGCTCTGGAAGGACTGCCCCTCAGAACTCCCTAGTCTTGAGCAGAAAGGGCTGACCTTTAATTCCTGCCCTAATGAGTCCAGATGTGGGCGGCTGCAGACAGGGTGAGACTATGGGCAATTGGCACTCCACAGCTGAGGAGATTGGGAGGGAGCTGAGACCTAGAGGCTCTCCACTGACACCGTTACCCACAGTGAGGCAGCAAGTCTTTCTGGGCAGTGCATCTCTCCGACAACCCTACAGCTCACCTAGAAGCCAACTAATCATCCCAGTGATGTGGGGCCAGGAAACTTCCTATTTTCTTCAAGCCAGTTTGAGTTCAGTTACTTCTATTGGCATTCAAGAGACTCTGTTTCCCTTCCAAGTTAAAATTCCTTTGGAACTTCAAGATTCCAGAAAATATACACTACTGAAGTAGATCGGGGAGCCCAGTGTAAACCCATACCCCCAACACCACGGCAGTCATGTCTGCTAATCAAGCCCTACACTTGCAACCTTCCCTTGGCTCATATACTTCAAGTGATAAGACAGTGAAAATGGGATGTGTTTGTTTTATTGGACTGAAGGTTTGGTGATTAAAACGACAAGTCACGTATGTCACAAAACAAAGTCCATCATATTTTCATTTGAATAAACTTCACTATGATGGGAAGCATTCTCAGTTTTGCTTCTGGTCAGGAAGATCCTCTCTAACCTGTACGTCTCTCAGTAATTCCCATCCTCTCAAGAACAGAATCGTTTGTTTCTCCAAGAACAGTGATTTATACATTAATAATGACCTCTTTGTTCCTACAAGTGACCAAGTTTGCAGGAGTAAGCATGAGAGTAAAATCGAGCCAACACTCCAGGCTCTTACTGGGGAGCAAAGCTTATTAAATTATTTTCAGATGTGAAGTTCATTTTCACTCAGGTAGCTATTTTGTTAAGCTTCTGAATTTTCAGCAGTATTGCAATTTATACCAATGTAGCATAAAATTTGTAATTCCAACACTCCAATGAAAATGATGTGAATATACATACACGTATCATTTTCATATGTGTATCATATGTAAAGAGATCCAATAGCATATATTAATCATCATGTTTAAGTGTGTATGTTTAAGTGAGAGAGACGGGGGAGGGGAGAGAAAGAGGAAAAAGGAGAGAGTTGGGGGGGTGGAGACAGAAGGAAACCACAAAGACTCCACAAAGACTTGAATGTATGTCATGGTCTAAAACTAAATAACAAATGATATGGTGTAAGAAGCATTGCTCAGCACCATTAGGTAACTGAAACAAACTGGATCTCACTTGCCTTTACAACACTCCTTGTTGTAATAAATTACGTTTATAAACTTCCCTGGATGAACTATCTTTTGTAGAGTTTCTTATATTCCAACTCAGTTGACAGAATCCAATACTTGGGTTACCAATTTTCTTAGGGTAATTTAAGGAAGCGATAACAGTACATACGCTGTTGGTCTTGCACTGAAACTTATTCAATAAATATAAAAAACACAAACAGACCACTTCTTACCTCCAGAGTGTGGCGGTGGGCCACAGAGCAGGACGACTCCCTGGCCTTCACGCACGGACACCGTACTTCTCATTTTGGTTTTAAAATTTTCAAGATCTGATTGGAAAACAAAACAAAACGGAATTTCAGAAAGGGCAATACAAATTAAAATCTTCACACAGAGACAATCCGATAATTTTTAAAACCCTTTCTCAGGAATCTCAAGAGGAGAACATTTGCTTGGAGAAGGAAAATTGGGATTTTGATTTCTTTATTAAGGCCTCTGAGAAATTCAGCAATACGAGAAGAATATAGACCCATTAATCCTGTGGTGCTGGAACAGTGTCAGAAGTGGCCTGGGCTATCCCAAGGGATGAAGCATACTGGAATGAAATAACCAGACAGTATGACTCAAAGAAGGAAATGAAGTATCTTGAACCAAAAATACACACAGACCAACATCCACATTCGCCATAGTGATTCATCGAATTGTGAAGACGTGTAGCTTTACCTATAAATGAAAGCCAGCTATTCGTGAATTTCTCTCCCAAAATATTTTATCCTAAGTAGCCCCAATAAATTTTATTTTACCTATAAATACTGTTGTTATTCACAAAAAGAATTAAAAACATTCAGATTCTGGTTACAAGTCCTATTTGTACCATGCCTTGAAGGGTTCCATACAAGGTAGGTACCACTGAAAACTACCCTCCAGTTAGAATTCAAAGGATTGCAGTCAACTAGGTCCACCTATTTCTCTATATTTGTAGCTGTGAAAAAAATGAAAACCATTTTTTATAATTGTCCAAAGACTCTTTTCTCCCCCAAGTTTTTAATAAAGCAATCAAGGCAAATGCTATTTGGATCAGCAGTGATTATTATTTTTTTTTAAACTGTTTAATTTCTTCCAGTCACAGTCCAGGACAACAAATTCTGATTCTCATTCTCCAGCATAAATTACAGAAGGGAGAAAATTCTGTTGGTTCATTTTGAACAAAGCTTAAGCCTTTAGGGGAAGAAAAGGAAGAAGAGAAAAAAATCTGTTTCTTTGAACCCAAAACTTGTGAACTCCACAGTTAATATACTCAGTGGTGTCACTTTATGTATCAGAACAATTGCACTGTCAATTTGTGAAAGAATACACTCATTTCATAGCTCTTAAGGGTTCATATAAATTACCTATGTGGTGAGGCAGGGTGTCTACTTCAGAACACAACTTGGAAAATTTCAACTCTGCCTTGAAAAAGGTAAAAAGCAAAATAATTATCTTCAAATGGATAAAACTACAGACTGTAGACAGCTATGAATATTCTAAGCACCTTAAATCAGCCTACCAGATTGAATGGAATAAGAGGTCTACTTTCCTCATTTTAATGTTACTGAAAAACAGCATTAAATTACTAGGTTATAAGCATGGAATAAAGCTATTCAGCAAAACTCACTATGCGCACCCATAAAAGAAGAAAATATTGTGTTTCTGCACTTACTTTAACAGGAAGTTCCCCTACAAAAATGATATGATAACACAGTATTATATTTTCTTAAATGTGTAATTAAATGCAAAATAATCAAAACGTTAAAGTTCCTGAAGTGTGCCTGAGCTGGAACTGCAAAACCATACCATCCAAATATTTCCCAGTATCTAAATGGGGGGAGCACATCATATCAGACCGTAGCCTATATATGGAAAAATAATATCAAATGACGATTTTTGGCAACCAAGTATGTGTCATCATTGCTGATTTCTTACCCAATTCTTGTTTTATTCTGTTACATAAATTCACACCATGGAAGTGACTCATCACTGATTCTAAGCTCAAATATGCAAAAAAGGATAAAACGGTTCTATGGAAACTAATAATGTCTTTTCTCCCCTAAAAGTAAAAATCCCTTTTGATTAAAGCACTAACAGGGCCTGGAACAGATCTGCCCATTGCTCTAGACACTTGCATCGATATTGTCTCTAATTCTATACAAGGGCAAAGAACATTATTTTTTGGATACCTGTAGTCAGGTTGCGGAACATAGACATGAGGAAAAGCAAAGAAAAATACCTATACTGGCTTCAACATGTTTTCCAGGGCTTTGTTGCTAGAAAATCACTGTGACTACAATGAACGTTTGTTTTCTTTAAAACCCAATCCCCTGAATTCTTAGTTCACGTTACTCCAAGTGTCGTCCAGGACCACCTGCATCATTATTACCTAGGATTCCTATTACAAATGCGGAGACCTGGGAAATCACTTAAAACTAGTAAATTAGAATGGGATCTGCATTTTTAACAAGCTCATTAGCTGAAGTCTGTGCACACAGAATAGAACTTTGTGGCTTCCTACTAAGATGTAGCAAGTTCAACCCAGATTAAGTATCTTAAAATGTATCTCAAACTTTTTAGAACTTACGAAAATGCCCATGAGGTAAAGAAGCTTTGAAACATCCGTTTAGCAGCAAGGATGAAAAGTGAAGCAGTCACTTATTGAACAAGTATCCATTGAAGACTTCAGCCTGCTGCAAGCATGTTCCGAACTGTAAATCACTGGAGCCTCCTTTCAAGGAGAGCCCTGTCTGGTTAGAGATGGACTTGACACCAACAGTGAGAACCTTGCTCTTATCGTGGTAAGTACACAGAGGAACAAACACTCAACCTAGAGATGGAAGAGATGCCTTGAAAGAGCAGCAGTTCCTCAGTCAAATCGAGGATGGTGTGTCGGGGGTGGAGAGGGAGATTCTGCTTAGACAGAGGGATCAACAGAGGAAAAACACTGATGAATAAGAACACCTGCCAAAATATAGCAAGATTTCCTCCCTTTGGAGGGAACACTAAGGACTACAGAGATAAAGGGAGTCTTAAGTGTCTAAAAAGTTTTAGATACCTACTTGAAGGGTACATGTGTAACCCAAACTCAATTGAAGGCTGTATGGAATCCATGCTTGGCAAGAACTATATTAGAAAAAACTCTCCTTATGAGTCAAAATAAATAAAAACTAAATCCAGGACTTTTTAGATAGAAACTTATCAGAAATTTATTTTTGTCTCCTTTTCAAATTCTGTCAAACTCTGTAACTATTCTGGAACTTCTAATTAGCTGGACTTTAATCACAAACCAACATGATAAAAAAGCATCTACAAAGAAGCACAGTTAACGTCATATTTGATGATACAGGACTGAAGGCTTTCCCTCTAACATCAGGAATATGACAAGGAGGTCCATTCTTACCTAACACTCTTGGGATTGTACTCAAAGTTCTAAACACTGCAATAATGAAAGGACAAGAAATAAAAAGGATACAGTTAGGAGAGGAAGAAACAAACTACCTCTATTTGCAGAAGACATGTCTAAATAGAAAATGAAAAGGAATCTATTACAAACAAAACAAAACAAAACAAAAAAAGCACAACTTCTCAGTATAAATGAGTTAAATAAGATAGAGGATATGATTTCTAGACACTAACACTGAACGTGCAGAAACCAAAATTAAAAATGCAAAACTGCTTACAATCATTCCAAAAAAACTGAAATACTTAGGTATACAGATAAAACATGCAAAGGATGTATATGCCAAGAGTGGCAAAATACTGGTAGAAAACAATCACATGTAAGCAAATGGAGAGCTGTATTGTGTTCATGGACTGGAAGACTCAACATAGTATGAACTCTCTGCAAACTGATATGTAGGTTTAATGCAATTACTAACAAAATTCCAGCACATTTAAAAAATTCGTTTTGCTTTTATTTTTTGAAGGTAGAGGCAAGCTTTTTCTAAATTTTAGGTAAAAGCACAGGCCTTTAGAATAGCTAAGACCATGTTCACCAAGACGACTAAAGTGGAAATAATCGCTCTACCTAATATTAAAGCTTATTTTATAGCCACAAAGATCAAGACAGTGTGGTACTGGTGAAGGGATAGATACACAGATCCATGGAACAAAACTGCCTAGAAATAGACTCATGTAAATATGCTCAACTGATTTTTAAAAATTTTTTAATTTAATTTTTATTTAAATTCAATTAACATATAGTACATTATTAGTTTCAGGGGTAGAGTTTAGTGATTCATCAGTTGCATACAACACCAAGAGCTCATTACATCAAGTGTCCTCCTTAATGTCCGTCACCCAGTTACCCCATCGCCCCACCCACCTCCCCTCCAGCAAAGAAAACAACAATAAAAATTGACCTAAAACTCACTCATATATGAAAATTAACTCAAAATGAATCAGAAACTTAAATATAATAAAAGAAAACTACAGAACTTTCAGAGAAATACAAAGGAGAACATCTTTGGGATCTAGGGCTAGGCATAGAGTTTTTGATAACAAAAGACTTGAAAACAAGTACCTGAATCATTAAGAGAAGCCTAATAAACTGGACTTGATCAAAATAAAAGACTTTTGCCTTTTGGAAGCCCATGTGAAGAGAATGAAAAGACCAGCTGCAGACTGGGAAAAAATGTTTGCAAACCACTTACCCAGCAAATGAATAGCATCTAGAATATGTAAGTCCTCTCAAAACTCAAATAATAAAAAACAAAACTATTCAGTTAGAAAATGGGCAAGCAACCTGAACAGACACTTCCCTGAAGAGGATATACAGATGGCAAGTAAGAACGTGAAAACATGTTCAGCATCATTAGCCATCAGGGAAATACAAAGTAAATCCCTAATGAGATAACACAGCACGCATATCCAAATGGCTAAAAATAATAGATGGTGACGACACTAGACCTTGCAAGGATGTGGAGGAACTGGAATGCAAAATGCTACAGCCCCTCTGGAAAACAGTTCGGCAGTTTCTTACAAAACTAAACACACAACGACCATATCACCCATTTATCCCAGGAAAATGAAAACATACCTTCACAAAATCTGTATATGAAAGTTAATACAGCTTTATTTGCAATAACCCTGAACTGGAAATAACCCAGATGTCCTGGTTAAGCTAACAGTGGTACATAGGTATCCTGGACTACTATGCAGCAATAAGAAGCAATAAACTACTGATAACACTTTACAACTTGAATAGATCTTCAGAGAATTATGCTGCCTGAAAAAAAAAAAATCCTGAACGGTTACATGCTGTATGATTCCCTTTATATAATAAATAAATAAATAAATA